CACTGCTTCCACATCCCTGCCCCACTGCTTTCACATCCCCTGCCCAACTGCTTTCACATCCCCTGCCCCACTGCTTCCACATCCCCTGCCCCACTGCTTCCACATCCCTGCCCCACTGCTTTCACATCCCTGCCCCACTGCTTTCACATCCCCTGCCCCACTGCTTTCACATCCCCTGCCCCACTGCTTCCACATCCCCTCCCCACCGCTTCCACGTCCCCTGCCCCACTGCTTCCACATCCCCTGCCCCACTGCTTCCACATCCCTGCCCACTGTTTCACATCCCCTGTCCCACTGCTTCCACATCCCCTGCCCCACTGCTTCCACATCCCCTGCCCCACTGCTTTCACATCCATGCCCCAGTGCTTCCACATCCCCTGCCCACTGCTTCCACATCCCTGCCCCACTGCTTCCACATCCCCTGCCCCACTGCTTCCACATCCCCTGCCCCACTGCTTTCACATCCCCTGCCCCACTGCTTCCACATCCCCTGCCCCACTGCTTCCACATCCCCTGCCCCACTGCTTTCACATCCCCTGCCCCACTGCTTTCACATCCCCTGCCCCACTGCTTCCCACATCCCCTGCCCCACTGCTTTCCACATCCGCTGCCCCACTGCTTTCACATCCCCTGCCCCACTGCTTCCACATCCCCTGCCCACTGCTTCCGCATCCCCTGCCCCACTGCTTCCACATCCCCTGCCCCACTGCTTTCGCATCCCCTGCTCCACTGCTTCCACATCCCCTGCCCCACTGCTTTCACATCCCCTGCCCCACTGCTTCACATCCCCTGCACCACTGCTTGCACATCCCCTGCCCCAATGCTTCCACATCCCCTGCCCCACTGCTTCCACATCCCTGCCCCACTGCTTTCCACATCCCGTGCCCCACTGCTTCCACATCCCCTGCCCCACTGCTTCCACATCCCCTGCCCCACTGCTTTCACATCTCCTTCCCCACTGCTTCCACATCCCCTGCCCCACTGCTTCCACATCCCCTGCCCCACTGCTTTCACATCCCCTGCCCCACTGCTTTCACATCCCCTGCCCCACTGCTTCCACATCCCCTGCCCCACTGCTTCCACATCCCCTGCCCCAATGCTTTCACATCCCCTGCCCCACTGCTTTCACATCCCCTGTCCCACTGCTTCCACCCACATCCCCTGCCCCGCTGCTTCCACATCCCCTGCCCCACTGCTTCCACATCCCCTGCCCCACTGCTTCCACATCCCCTGCCCCACTGCTTTCACATCCCCTGCCCCACTGCTTTCACATCCCCTGCCCCACTGCTTCCACATCCCCTGCCCCACTGCTTCCACATCCCCTGCCCCACTGCTTTCACATCCCCTGCCCCACTGCTTCCACATCCCCTGCCCCACTGCTTTAACATCCCCTGCCCCACTGCTTCCACATCCGCTGCCCCACTGCTTTCACATCCCCTGCCCCACTGCTTCCACATCCCCTGCCCCACTGCTTCCACATCCCCTGCCCCACTGCTTTCACATCCCCTGCCCCGCTGCTTCGATTGCCCCTCTCCCTGCTTCTATTCCCCCCCTTCCCCCTCACCTGCTATCCCCCAATCCCGCCTCCCTGCCTTCCCCTATGCTTCCATAGCCCTCCCACCTCACCGCCCCTCCCCCGATGCTCACTCCGCTACTCGGGGATGAGGACGTCAAACTCGCTGCAGGTGAAGAGGACCCTCGGCACAGATGAGAATGCCCAGGCGGCATGCTCCTTCTTGTACCACGGCCCATTGGCTTTGCTGCGGTGTGCGATGGCGTGACGCATCCATGCCAGAACGTTCTTGTGATACTCGTCTGTTGCATCCTCGTTTTGTGGAGCGCTCTTTTTTAGGCTAACTGCCCCAATTTTTTTCATCCTGTGCTCCACCTGTATAACGTTCAGACCAAATATTAGAAACTGGCGATGTATGCTTACAATCACAGAAAAAAACATAGAATACTTATTCCAAAGAGCCAATAGGCAACATGATATGGCTTGAGGATCAGAGGGCCAGCCCTCTTCTGATTGAATGAAGCTGAGATGCCCAGTTCAAAAGGGGATGTGGAGAAGGGCACCCGAGCCTTGCTCGCATGCCATTTAAGCAGGTTGAAGGTGTCAGCCTCTGCCAGGAAGAAACAGGGAAGAGCAGCAACACAGTATATGGGGTGCAACTGCATGATCTACAAAAATACCGGTATGACAAAAATAAGTGTGCTCACCAGCCGCGTATTTGTTGAGAAACTCCGACAGCGACGTTGGTGCACCGCGAACAGGAGGCACCCTCACATGTGCGTCCTTGGGAATGGTGTACGGCAAGCCGTGCATAAGAGACACTTTTGTGCGGCCCTGCTCATGAATCTTGCACCTCAAAACCTGTAGCTGCCGAGTGAACCGGAGGCGGCGCAAACGGTCGTTGTTCCACACCATGTGGACTTTGAGTTTTTAGCTCAGGATCCTGGAATGAGAGGGCCTTCAGCATTGCCAGCCTCAACTGATGGATCCCAGGCCACATCGTCAAATCCTCGTCCGGTGTGTTGTACAGTAAGATGCTGATCGTATCCTTGCTAAGGTCTGCAGTGAAGAAAGTTTGGGGGAAAAAAATGGATGATACGGAAGTTCTTGTTGTATGGATTAACCATAGCGCTTGAAAAGGGAGGACCATCCAGATTGCTTGCCGCTCTCAGAATGTTGGATGCTGCCTAGTGTCAATCTTACGTGCCGAGCTCTGAAGCGGTTTGGGCACGGCAAGTATGGTAGGGGCGGCTCCTAGTCGAGGGGAAAAAGGCATAGCCAGGGGCACGACTTCTCCCTGACCACCATGCTGAGCCGTGGCTGTGATGGGGTCAATGTCCAACGTTTTATAAGTCCTTACCTGCCTGTCTCGTGTAACGGACCTTATAACGAGGCAGCACGCTCTGCTGACCATTCAGATGCTGCTACCGTAGATTATACACCCATGTGCTGTGCTATACCTCACAAGTTGTTGCCAGAACCCTCCCCCATTGGTGTAAATTCGATCTTTTATACCATCCTCAGGATGGGGATGCGTTTCTTTTGAAGCACTTTCCAGTTCTTCACTCAAAATTTTCTGGGGACATTTAATTCCCAACAAAATCCACTATAATGATGCACACATGCAGCAAGCACAACTACAGTCAAGATCATTTCAAACAGGGAAAAGGCGATTGCCAGCTGCTTTAGCCCACTCGTGTTGCCTTGATTGATGCCCTGCGCCATTTTATCTTCCAGCTGCACAGATAGGCGACACATATGGTGACGGGAATGTGGGAATAGAGGCTGCAGTTAGGGGAGACGAGAAGATGATCATTTGTTGCAAAAATTTGCATGGTGAAAATAATAATTTCTCCCCATGGCATCGCAAGGGCTTGACCTGAGGGTATGAGCTGCCAGCAGCTCTCCCCATGGCATCGTGAGGCCATGACCTGAGAGAGTTGCAGATGTCGTAACCATGGCCAGCTCCTCAAGTTAGTGAGACTTACACATGTCTTACCTCCATCTAGAAGCCACGGCCATGCAGTAGGACAGATAGACAGCACCACGGACGTGTTGCAGCATGTAACCTGCACATGGCGGATGGCGGAAAAGGGGTTTGGGGCGTTTAGCAAGTGGCTACATGTGCGCGCACCTGCATGCGCTTCCATCTGTGCTGTGCACTGCAATGCGCGCGCTGCCATGTATGCACTACCATGTGCTCACTGCCATGTGCGCGCTGCCATGAGCGTGCTGACATGTGCCCGCTGCCATGTGCGCGCGGCCTTGTGGGCGCGGCCATGTGGGCGCTGACATGTGCCCGCTGCCATGTGCTCGCTGCCATGTGCTCGCTGACATGTGCCCGCTGCCATGTGCACGCTGCCATGTATGCCCTGCCATGTGCCCGCTGCCATGTGTGCGCTGCCATGTGCGCGCTGACATGTGCCCGCTGCCATGTGCGTGCTGCCACTTGTGCGCTGCCATGTGTGCGCTGCAATGTGCGCGCGGCCATGTGCGCGCTGCCGTATGCGCGCTGACATGTGCCCGCTGCCATGTGCGCGCTGACATGTGCTCGCCTGTGCCTCATGTGCGCCTGACATGTGCTCGGGCCATGTGCCCGTGCCATGTGCGCGTTGCCATGCGCGCGCGGCCATATGTGCGCTGACATGTGTCCCCCGCCTTGTACGCGCGGCTATGCGCGCGGTGCCATGTGCGCGCTGTCATGAGCGCGCGGCCATGTGCCCGCTGCCATGTGCGCGCTGACATGTGCCCGCTGCCATGTGCGCGCGACCATGTGCCCGTTGCCATGTGCGCGCTACATGTGCCCACTGCCATACGCTCGCTGCCGTGGGCGTGCTGCCATGTGCGCGCTGCCATGAGCGCGCTGACTTGTGCCCGCTGCCATGTGCGCGATGCCATGTGCGCGTTGCAATGTGCACGCGGCCATGTGCGCGCGGTGCCATGTGCGCGGTGCCATGTGCCCGCTGCCATGTGCGGGCGGCCATGTGCCCGCTGCCATGTGCGCGCGGCCATGTTCCCGCTGCCATGTGCGCACTGACATGTGCCCGCTGCCATCTGCTCGCTGCCGTGTGCGCGCTGCCATGAGCGCGCTGACTTGTGCCCGCTGCCATGTGCGCGTTGCCATGTGCGCGCTGCAATGTGCATGCGGCCATGTGCGCGCGGTGCCATGTGCCCGCTGCCATGTGCGCGTGGCCATGTGCCCGCTGCCATGTGCTTGCTGACATGTGCCCGCTGCCATGTGTGCGCGGCCATATGCCCGCTGCCATGTGCGCGCTGACATGTGCCCCTGCCATGTGTCGCGCCGTGGCGCGCTGCCATGGCGCGCTGACTTGGCCCGCTGCCATGGCGCGCTGCACTGTGCGCTGCCATGGCGCACTGCAATGTGCACGCGGCCATGTGCGCGGTCCATGTCCGCGCCATGTGCCGCGCCATGTGCGCCTGCAGTCCGCCCTGCCAGTCGCGCTGCCATGTGCGCGCTGCCATGTGCGTGCGGCCATGTGCGCGCTGACATGTGCGGCGCCATGCGCGCTGACATGTGCCCGCTGCTATGTGCGCCCTGCCATGTCCGCGTGGCCATGTGCGCGCTGCTATGTGCGCGCTGTTATGTGCGCGCTGCCATGTGCACGCTGTCATACCATTGGTTCATGCAGCCATACCACCACGTATGCTGCCATATGGACTGGAGAGAGGGGCTGCTGAGTATACCCCTGACTTGACTGCGCTTGAGCGCCGGGGTAGCAGACGCAGGTGACGAGTGATGAGCGGTCCCGGGGCACGGGTAGAGTGGGGGATTGAGGAATGAGTGGGAAAGAGCAGAGAAAACGCATCAGTGGAAACGTATCTGGAAAAGGACAGAGGGAATAACTCGGGGAAATAGGGAGAGGACACGTGGTCTTACCGAGCAGCACGAGGCGAGCTGCGACAGCTAGGACGAGGGCGGAAAGCGAGTGGCCATGACGATAGTCGAAGGCCGCAGAGCTGATGGGTCGCTTTTCTATAGCGTCCCAAATCGGAGATCTGTACATAGTATCCTTAGAAGATATGCCCCAAGACGACCCTCCAACTGACTCATAGTCAAATCAAAATGCATTATCATCTTCTATTCCAGACGACGCCTAGCCTACCCCCTTTCCCACCGTTCAAAGCGCCCCCATTTCACAGGTGCACGATCCAGTCCGTGGCGCCGTGTAAAACACAGCTACGTGCTTTTCCTAAGTTGCGAAAGGACATGCGCGTGACATTGGAGTACAGCTAATTGCAGAGAATCATGAGGCGATTGACGAATGCTAAGCTAAGAGCCTAGCTAGCCACGACTAGTTGAATATTTGAAGACTCGTTCCTAGCTAAGGCATAGACATCTGCGATTTGAGGTGGTGGGGAAACCGAGAGAGGGAGTTGGGTTAGGGTTTGTGTACGAGAGTTTGGATGGGTTGGGATGGATGGGAAGCATTGGTTGGTGGTGGGTTCCCCGAGTGAGAAGGTGGTGGTTGGGCTTCCTCACTGGTGATCAAAGTTTTTGCAGCTCGGGCTGTGCAATTATCCATCCATGGCCTATATTTTACGGGTAATTATCAGTATTTTAATAATTTAACGAGTCATTTTAGACCGGAACTCCCTTTTTCACGGATACGGTTATCTCCGAGCACAGGGGTTAAAGGGTCGTTTCTGGCTCGTAAATGGGTTGTAAAAGTAGGTTTAGTGGGATTTTGGCCGGAAAACGGACTTTGACGAGTAAGACTGGGGCCGAAAACGGACTTCAACGGGTGGCTTTGGTAGGGAGCCCGGATATGACTATTGGCTAAAATTTCAATCAGAAGCCTTGTTCCAAACCACCACCTGGACGGTTCATGAGCTGGATGGAGCCATGTCACAAGTTTCACGCTGGAAAGCCACGTGGCCCAGATTGGTTGGTGAACATTTTCGCTATGTGTTATAAGGACACACCATCTCCTTATCCTTACAAATTTTTGTAGCGAAACTCATTTTGTCGCGTATGCGATGTTCCGACACACATGGCCAGGTTTCGTCCGCCTGGGAGTCCCACCCTGCGGACATACTTCCTCTCTTGTTGTGGGACTCTTCGCACACTGCACCTAAAGCATTCCCCAAAGCGTGCTACATTTGCGGG